AATATGAATTTGTAAGGGACGTAAAAGTATACTTTTAAAAGTAAGGGATAAAAAAAGTCATTTTGTAAAATGTGAGGAACTTTTTGAACGATTTTCCCAAAAAAAATCGATCAAGATTCATAGGCTGATAATTATTTACGACTGACAGCATAAAATTGTCATCGATCCATTGAGTTGTGATACAAATATTCAAAACTCTCAAAATCTTAACATGGAAGTCTAGATGTGCTTGGTACAACTGAAAACTAAAATCTTTTTTTTTTTGGTACTTTTTTAGATGCACATTTTTGTAGAAAGTTTTTTTGAATATTTGTTAGAATATTCTTTATCATATTTTTCAATCACTTTTTTATTTTATTTTATGTGCATCACATTTTAAAAAAATAAGAAAAAATATCAAGAATGGTCACTAAACAATTTTAAACGAGACAATCTAATCAACGATTTTTTTTTTTTTAGCCAAAAAAATCACTCAACTCCTTAAAACAAGCTTTTTGAGTCATTCTCTCCTAAATCAATCGGAAATGACCTGCATTTTTGCCCTTGAAAACTTATAATAGTAGTTCAAATGCGTTTTTTTCGATTGATTTACTAGTTAAATTGGACAATATGACCCAAAAGGCTCGTCTTAATGTAGGGGTGTTTCGCGAACGGCTCGAATACGAGCTCGACTCGAGCTCGTCAATATCGAGTTCGAGTCGAGCTCGAGCTAATTAAGTCGATCTCGATCTCGAGCTCGAGTTCAAAAACATTAAACTCATTGGCTCGCGAGCTCAATTATATATATATTTTTTATTTTTTATTTTAATAGTAAAATTACATATATATTCCTAATATTTTATTATTTATTAAAAAATTTATTATTTTATTCATTTTTAAAAATAAATAATTATTTTTTATTTTTTAAAAATAAAATAATAATAATTATTTTTTATTTTTTAAAAATAAAATAATAATAATAATTTTTTATTTTTTAAGCTCGAACTCGAGCTCAAGCTCGATATTTTGAGCTCGTCGAGCTTCACAAAATTAACTCGAACTCGGTTCGTTTGCACCCCTGTCTTAATGAGTTGAAAGGCCTTTTTAGCCCCAAAAAATATTGGCTACTAGACCGTACGTGCCATTATAGATAATTTAGTGACCATTTTTATCATTTATTTTAAAAAAAAGTATTACAGTGTATTTTTATAATAAAAAGTAAAAACTCCAAAAGAGTGCCAATCCAAACGGGCTCCAGGCAGTTAAGGAACTGGCAAAGACAAAAGCAAATGAAAAGGGCCCTCCTTCTATGACTGATGCAATCCCTAATCTTAAAATTTGGCCATGGCAGACACCATGGTTACCACCATCAACGGTTAAGCTTGACGCTTTTTTTTTTTTTTTCTTTTTTGGGTTGAATGACGTAAAACCAATGATGGTGGGAACTCGCTCCCCACACACAATTAATTAAACCCATTATTGTTACACTCCGTCTCCATCTGGCTGCATTTCATACAACATATATTATACTCAAATGCAAATGCAATATCCACGTTATTGTATTAAATAATTAAAAAATTACAACAACCCCAAGAAATTACAAAGCACAACCTACCCCAAATCCCTCTTTAATAAGAAGAATAAAACAAAAGGAAATGGACTAAGTTTGTAAATACTATCAGTACTGAGTGTGTTTGGATAGTGGGTTATTTTTTCAAATATATTTGTTTACATCACCATTACAATTTCTAATACAACTTTTTATCTTTTCAATTATCTTTTTATCTCACATACATCACATCACAAAAAGTGCTACAGTAAAAATATCTCAAATAACCCACTATCCAAACACATTCAGTGTAAAATTTTTTTAAACTACTTGACATATATATAACTACATGACATGTATTTAACACCATTCGTACGTAGATAGTAATAAAAAATTTTAAAAAAGGAAAAAGTGGTACGCTACTCATATTTAACACCATTCGTTCATACATTGATAGTACATAAACAATTGTTTTTTTATAAAAAAAAAAAAAGAAAAAGTGGTTGCAAAGTAAATTTTTTTTATACTAATAGTTGCAAATTTATTCTATATGTATAAATTTTAAAATTAAATTACGTGAAATATATTTAATACTGTTTGTTCATATATACACTGATAGTACGTAAAAAAAATTACAAAAATGGAAAAAGTGGTACTCTACTATACTAAAAGGACGTAGATCATCTTCATTTAAATACATGCTACAAGCTGACATAAATTTAAAATTTAAAATTAAATATACGTGACATGTATTTAATACCCGTTTGTTCGTATATGCATTGATGGTACGTAAAAGATTAAAAATAAATTTGAAAAAGCGGTACTCTACTGTACAAAAAGGATGCGCATCATCTTCACTTGAATGCGGGCTGCACGCCGACAAACCACGTGGTGGTTTCCCAGTGGTCCACTCCATCCCAAGACTAACGAAAAAACAAAAATGGAAAAGCAACTAATGGAACTAATCCCACAATCTCCATAGCCGAAGGAAAGTAACACAGCGAGCCACGTGTCTATATGACGACGTCAGGGTGACGAGGACTGCAAGCTCAGATCCGATGATTACGTCATCCCGGAGGGAGGTCTGGCCCCACTTTTGGGAGTTGGAGTCCACCATAAGGAGACAATTTAGTAGCAGCAGACTAAGCAGTAAATTACTACACGTCAGCTTCAGTTCTAGTTGGCATTGAGTTACGTCAGCGGTCGGCCCACCACACATGGCCCACCAAAATCCGGGTCGCAGTCAAGATGACGTCATGCGGCATTTTAATAATTCTAGCGTACGCCAACGGTCCATGTGATCTGCCCTTTGCCACTCCAATCGGGACCGTATACCCAAATATCGAGTCTTGACTTCACACGCCCTTTGCTGTTTGTTTGCTATATAGTATTAGTAATTGTTACCCCAAGAATCAAAGGTATTAGGTGGTCAACGGCCAACTCTAATTGACGTTCTTCAGAAACTTGCAATGGTGATTATCGAATTTTTGGATTTTAGTCCAGCCTTGCTTGAAATTTCATTTTTTTTAATCAAAATTTTATACATATTCGTGAACAAAATTTTTCAATCGTTTTTTCTTTCGATCATATATTTTGATAGTCATATAACTCTCACCAATCCCGGGGTAAGAGTGGCATATTTAGCCAATTGATCATTTTTATTTTTAATTATTTTTTATTTCATGTACATCAAATAGCTACAGTGTATTTTCTACAAAAATTTCAAAAAAATTGCAATCTAAACAGGATAGCTCAAAGGGCTTCTTTTGATTTCTTAATCTTAAATGAAATGGACTGGGATTAGTGAAATTGTTTAAAAATAATTGAATCATGAGGTAATGTCCTCCCAAGACACGTACATAAATCTTCATTTAGTACAGGGAAGTCACCTCACATTTAGAAGGACCACATAAAAATTGGTATTAGTCTCAATTAAGAAAACAAAGAAGAGACTTGTCTCTTCTTCTACTATACCTCTCCTTTGACATACTTGGCATCTAATTATGAATTCTCAACGGAATTAGTGTATCGGTTCTTTGTCATTAGCACTTCATCATTTCATTGAGAAAAAGGAAAAGGTGAAATTAGACACCGGTATGGCCCATCTTGCTCAAAACATAAGCTTGTCCGCGTATTTTGGATTGGATATGAGTAATTAGTGGTCTAATTTAGAATAGACGTTTCATCAATTAAAAAAATTATCAAAAAGCATATGCTTCAGGCCATCATATATCCATTCATTCTTACAATACCCCATACTACAGCCACAAAGCACCAAGAATTATTAGTAATAGAATATGATTTGCCTATATCGTAACCCTAGAATATGAAATATGGAGTACTGCATAAAATCATCCCAATAGTTAAATGAATCAAACATTGAGCTTTGAGCAACAATAGAAACAAAAACGTAACTTTAGGGGGAAGAAAAGTAATCCCTCCTCTAAAAAAGTACTAATAGTTTTTCTGGATTCCTATTTTCACAAAACAATAAATTATTAAGTCTAATGTGGTGAATTTGCAATATAACCCTTATTAGTATAAATAGTTTGAAGTGTATTGGTATATGTGAAAACTATTTTTGAATGGTAAAATAACCAGTTGTGTGAATTGGTATTGACTTTTAAATACGTCTCTTATGTTAATTAGGACATTTAAAAAGTGAAAAATAATATGAATAATAGGACGTAGGTATTATAAAATGAGCACTAGTTATATTTTCTCCCTAAACTATAGCTATGCTCAATTTATCAGCCACTAACTTTTTAATGGGCCAAAATATACATTATATTTTGCATGATCAAAATACAACCCTGCTAAGTTTCTTTCATTTAAACTGTAACATGCTCCATATAACCAATATATATATGTGTGTGTGTGTATGCGCGGGCGCGCAAGCGAGCCAATCTATAAAAATTTTGGATGGAAAGCTCATCTCTAGTGTTTGACTGATCACTATAAGGGAAAAAAAAAGTGTATATATTTAAAATTTAGAGGAGTAAAGTGTCACTAAGGAGCAAGCAAGTTAGGGAGGCAAACTTTAATTAAGAATGAAGCATTTCTCCAAGAAGGAGAAAAACTTGTAGCTCCTCATGTCTGAGTAGAGGCCAAGAAGGAACACGTCATGAACGAATTTGATGTCTTTTCCTCCTTTGTCCTAAGGTGCAAGTACGTAGCACCACATTCTTTGCCCCTCGCGCGTGTGACTTCCATGTTCTAACATTTCCACACAAGGACCAGAGTACCATACAACAACAACTATTGACTTCTCTAAATACACAAAATAGCAGCATAAAGTAACTTACGCATTATGTTACTTTATATGACGTCACAACAGCTAGTGCAAAAATTCTACTTCTACCTAGTAGGACTCGTAGAAGTATAATTTAATCATTCTCTTCATTTCTCTCCTCTCATTTGATTTAGCATAATATATATATATATATATATGTGTGTGTGTGTGTGTGTGTATCCCACACCCTCTTTCTCCTCTCCTTTTAAGGCTTTACCTCCCCCGCTGACAAACAAAAACCATTCTTCCAAGAAGCTTACTTATTTTCAGCCACTTCAATTTATGCTAGTGTTGCTGCCCTGCTGGTGGTCATGCAAGGTGCCCGGCGATATGGGTTGCTGTCGGATGGCGGAGTAAGGCTAGAGCTGACGCCATCCACCGGTTCTCCGCTGGCTATAGACGTGAGCGAGTCGACTGAGATGAGAATCCAGCGGCTGATATCGGAAAACCCGGTGATCATCTTTAGCCGCTCTTCTTGTTGCATGTGCCACGTTATGAGACGTTTGCTAGCTGCCATCGGGGTCCACCCTACCGTCATAGAATTAGACGAGGACGAGATCGACGCACTTCCCGCCGGACGGGATGGTGAAGAGGGCGGAGATGGTGCTGGTGGTGGTGGTAGTGGTGGTGCGCCGGCGTTGTTCATTGGCGGAACACGTATTGGTGGTTGGGAAAGCCTGGTGGCACTTCACTTAAGCGGTCATCTTGTGCCTAAGCTCGTGGAAGTTGGTGCTCTTAGGGATATGGTATTATGATTATACTAAGTAGTACTACTATTAATTACTATACTATATTTTCATGTTTGTTTTGGGGACATTTAACGGGAAGAAGCAAAAAAATATGTCTGTAATTTAAGCTCAAGTTGAAGTCCCCCTAGGAAAGAAAAAAAAAAAAAAAAAAAAGAAGAAAAATTAGGGGAAAAAAAAACATAATAATTGGTTCATAGTTTGATGTTTTCCCATGATTGTGCTTAAGTGTAGTACTAGGTTTTTAGTTGAAAGGACAATAGTTAATGAGGAAAAACATATTCCAGTTAATGAGGTGGCAATTGTCATGTGTACTAAGTACGTAGTACTTGTGTGGGTTCAATCAAATTTGTGTACTAAATTTAGCAGAAATTATTAGTATGAGGTTGTTGTATTATTGGTTCCTGAATTGGAGTATTGTGGTAGAGCTTGGCTGCAGCTTTTTTTTTTTTTTTTGTTGTGGTATGATGAGATGAATTCAATTGATGCTAACTAGTTAGATACGTGTCAGACCTTTTATTTTGTGATAATGGAGTGGCTTTTTCCGGCTTTATAATCTTCTTCATTTCACGCAATTAAAGACCTTAAATTTAAAAGGTCCCAAGGACTATGGAGGGGGGGGGGGAAGGTTTCCACTTTGCCATAATAATTTTAGAAATCTTTTACTTTCCAATGATGCGTGATTAATTATTCCGTGGCTTTATATATAATTGAAAGGGACCAGAGGGGGTTTCTAGTTTTTTGCAGTGATTAAACTTGCAAAAGCACATGGAGTTGTAGTAGCAGCAGCAGCTAGTATTTTAATTAAAGGTGAGGCCAGTCACTGAATGTGAATATCCCAATCCCCAATCAATGTGTGAGTGAAGGAATATTCTTGATCTTCTCATATAGAACTTGGACATTGTTTCATGGACAATTTTGGAATCACAATTTCTTCTTTTCTGTGGTGCCTTTGCTTTTGCATCAGATCAGCAGCTCACACTTTCTTTTTCTGACTAAAAATGTACCAAAAGGGAATCAACCATCCATCTTTATTTTGTTGGGTTACGAACGAATTTGATTGATGCCTGCTCCATCCACCCAAGTTTTGCTCAATCAATTTGTATAATACATCTTGGAACACCGCAAGTTGTTAGCCTTGACTAATTAAGTATCTTTTACTACTGAAATTTATCAGATCCCAAGAAGCTTTGAATCCTGAACCATGAAAATTGGTGGGGAAGATCGTTGCATGATTCATTTCAGTTCGCTGCGTACCATATTCGTATTAAAAATTCGAGGGTGTTGCTTGAATTAATTCACAGCTCTTTCTCCAACAGCCCCCCTTGATGACTAGTTTTGTTTGCTGCTCTGCTGCTATATATGAATATATATAGGCTCTAATAATTATATATGATCATGATATCCCATGTGGACTTGTTCGGTCATCTTGTCTTGTTGAATTAAAGGGTCGTTCCATTAGTAAAATGAAACTTCATTTGTAATTGTTAATCTAGATACTATTGCCAACTAGTTGAAGTTGTTGAACTACGTACAATCAATTTGTGGTTAATTGGCATTTTTAATAAGAAGATAACCAAGGCTAAACATCAGGATATATACATAAAATATTAATAATTAATCTTATACATACGCTATCGCCGTTGAGTATTTGACAGACAGCTAATCCGAATTTTAAATTAAAATTCAAATTTTGTACAGTTGCCAATCATCCAATCGTCCGTGACAGCGTATGCGCTAAGTCGTATATGAATTGGCACTAATCTCATATTGCCAAGTGCCAAAGACGAGGAGTGTCTTCAAGTGTAGTTTTGTTGGGTTTGACGGAATTTGTGGTGTCCGAAGAGAAAGAGACAAAAGCTAGTATAATGTATAATGTTTTCTCCCTGAATAATACACCTCAGAAAAGGAAGAGTGGGGAGACAAAGACAAATACACGTAAATGCAGCTGCATACATGGAAGATGAAGCAACACAAAAGAAAGAATCTGGGGGACAACAGCAGCAATGACTGGTGTGGTGGCCATAAAAGAAAAGGTGGAAAGAAGTTGGCGGGGAATTATTGTAATAAAGATTCCCAGAATTTTTTTAAAAATAGTGAAAAAGAACCAGAAAAGAAAATTGTTCATTGATGTGATTAAGATTGAAATTTATGCCTGAATCTGCCAACCACTCCTTTGGCTGGTCATCAGCAAACGTGGTTAGTTTGCACAGGATGCTTCTTCCATAATATCTGCGTGCTTCATATATTCAAGGCTTTGATACTCACCTCACCAATGGGAGCAAGCTTTACCTTCTTCAACATTTGCAGCTATATATCCCAAACAACTGGTTGGGTTTGGATTGCATTTTTTTTTTCCTGAGAGTTTTCATGGAAAAACGATTATTGTAGCACTTTTTAGAGATGTGACGAGCACGAGAAAAGAATGATTGAAAAATATTCTTAAAAAATAAGCCCTCAAGAAAGTGTTTACAGAAAATGTGTTTAGTTTAAGTGTGTAAATGTTTCGACCTTTTGGCTTTTGCTATTGTCTGGAATTGGGTGTATTCTTCAGCGCAATGCATACGTAGGATTAATCGGGTATATCAACATATTCTTCGCTATTGTTTTCCAACAAGAAGTTTGAAGTGAGATAAAGCAAAGAAATTATTATACTGCTAAAACTCGCTGAACTATAATATTGCTGGCTACGTACGTAAACAGTTCAGAAAACTGGACAAAATGGAAACGAGTGGAATTATAAACAAGTCTTCAGTTGAAGTACGAGCACGAACGTGCAGGGATATACATACATATATATATATATAGGAGCACTTATTTCTGCAAATACACAGTCAACAATATAAGATTCAATTCTCTAAACATGTTGATCGATGCACAATCAGATATCAAGTTCTGAATTAATTAGTCGCTTAAGATTTGCTTTTAGTTTTTTTTTTTTTTTAACGTGAAATATGTTTGTGCGTCGATGAAGAGTGGCACACTTGTGTTTGGAGCGGATATTATTTGGAATAACTGCTGTAGCGTTTTTTACGATGTGCTGTATGTGAGATAATTAAAGAGATCGATGGTTGCGAAAATAAAAATGTATGTTGAAAAATGTGTTTGTGATGCACGTAAATATTCTATTGTTTTTTTTTTCTTTTGGCAAATAAGAACTATCCAAACTCACATATAAAATATTTCCCATTTAAGGAAAAAAGCAGGAAGGAAATGCAGGAGAAGATGAAACCATTAATTATTGGAGGAGGAGGGATGGAGGGGTGTCTACATGTCCAAGGTTTTCCCTTGGATTTGGAATGGACAGGTCAGTGATGACAGCATCAAAGAAGAGCAGTGGTAAATTGCAACTTGAGCCCTACAACTGCACCCACTCACCACTGATCATCACTTCACCCACTGATCCCCAAAACTGTGTGTCTGGGAATCAATTTCTGTGGAATCACACCCGCTATGCACCCATAGGATGGCACACAATTTTGTAGGACCCTTCTGAGAATCTTTTCACACCTTAACCTGGGAGAATCTACAACTGAATCTATCAAAAGAAATCCCCCCCCCATAATTTAACACCACTTTCAACACTAATACATCATTCAATGGGGAGAAAAAAAAAATTAAAGAAGAACCCGGATACGATGTTTCTTTCTTTACAAAATTCTTTAGGAAATGAAATGGGAATTGATTATGTTAAATTCATGCACCCCACAAGTGCCACTCAAACTCATTTTAATTGGAAGCTTTGGTTTATATTTTGTCTCTAACTTAGTCTAAAGTTTCCCAAAAGCGTCTTTTAGCTCCTAAACTACAATTTCGTTTCCCACTTCTTTCCACATGTGATGTCATGTGTACACTTATGGCATCCAAGGTCCTTTTATTTACTTTCTACTCTTGGTTCTTCTTTTAGCCTGCCTAAACCTAACTTTTGGGTCGTACTTGTTTTATGCCATTCCTTCCCATGGTGGTCCTTTCAAGGCACTAGATTATTTGTTTAAAATGTAAAACCTATACATGCATAACACGGGTCAAAATACTAGCTACAAAGATGCTTGATAACATGTAGGGTTAAATACCAAAAACCCCTCTGTGATTTGCCTAATGTTCACTTTAACTCCCTATGATTTGGAAACCTACAATTTGACTCCCTGTCGTTTCAACTAAAGTGTATTTAACGGAATTTCTGTTAGATTTTCACTTTAGGTGAAAAGACAGGGAGTTAAATTGTATGTTTTCAAACTATAGGGAGGTAAAGTGTACATTTGACAAACCACAGGGAGGTTTTTGGTACTTAACCCAAAACCCATATAGAGGGGCAATTTTGACATTTTCCTTTCAGACGTTAGTTTAGATGTTTTCCGTCAGACTATTACTTTAGTTGAAACGACGGGGAGTCAAATTGTAGGTTTCCAAACTATAAGGAGGTAAAGTGAACATTAGTCAAACCACATGGGGGTTTTTGGTATTTAACCCTAACATGTATAAAAGAACCAAGCATTCGGTTACGAGATTTTTCTTGAGTCGTCCTGCTTCGTATATTGCTGTAGTAGCATTTGTTTTGGGTTTTAGTTATGTAAAGGTGTTAAATCAGACTTCAAATCATTTACCTCTCATTTTCTTGTTTCTTTTCTCGAACTCATTATGAAGAATGCGGGCGGGGGCCGGGGGGGGGGGGGTTGGTGTTTTTAAAAACCCATGAAAAATAATTGAAAGAATATAAAAATGTGTTTTCAAAGTGACGTAAAAGTCGAAATTTATCTACTTTTAAAAGCACCTCAAAACAGCTTATCATAATCACCCATTTTTGGTTTACATTAATATGCTAAAGTTCAACACAAGTCCAAAGCAATTGAGGATACTTGAAAACAACAACTTTTAATTTAAAAAAATTGCAAAATAAAAAAAAATAATTTAAATCTTCGAAAGCAAGCCCTGACCTGAGTTATGATTAAAAGCAAAGCAACGTAGATTATTAACAAGAAAAGACGATGATTATAAATTAAGGATATTAGTCAAATTTTTCCAAACCTCTGGGGGTGACGTCATGTATTGGGGCTTAATTTCTCCATGGTCTAATCAATTCAAGGCTTTGGTAGTTTTAACTTAATGTTTAAGCTCTTTTTTTTAATCACCG